ATTCACCTGGACAACTGCGGACACACATTCGATTGGAAAAATATGGAGATTCCGGATAGAGGCAATTCCCAATACACTAGAGAATTTTTAGAAGCTTGGCACTCGGATCAATGAGCAATAAACAAGCACACTGAAGTCTATCTAATTTATCAGTCAATCAGGAAAATTATGCACAAACAGGAACAAAAATTAAACCAATAGGAGACGCAACCAAAACAAAGAAGTAAACAATGACAGGTTTAAGGTCAACAAGAACCAGTCAACGTCGAGGTGTACAGGACAAGCTGTGAACCACACGTGAAGAAATTCGAACACTTCACTTTTACCTGAAGTTTGTGCTGATGATGTCGTTCAAAAGAACGATGAAAGCTCCACGACCAAACCATCCAGCTCAGAGAACAAAACTTCATCCAGATCATCCACCTGAGCTACAAATCTTATTGTTAGGATAGTCGGAAAAATATACCAATAATTATCGTGTTAAGTCTATGCTGGCCTTGAACCTTAAATGTACATTTCTTATTGGTCGATGTTTATTTCACTTGTTAAATATTTTGTAAATGTTGTTTCCTATTTTATGGTACGATGTGGTATGCTTGATTGGTATATAAATAAAGTATGTTTGAAATATAATGATTCATAACTCAGAGGCTGTGACTTCCGTTCTTCACTCAACTGGCTGGGACAGACTGCGAAGCGGGACCAATCAGGGCACTAGGTCGTCCGTACGTGTTTTCCGTGTCACTGTAATCGATCGATCAATAAAACCCTGCATATCATAACCTGCAGTCTCTCACACGTTACAACACTTATCCACCATCACGCAATACGCTACGTATGCTGAGACAATTCAATAAAATATCCTAGAGGCAACATCTAAACTACGGCACATTAAAGAGCGGAAATTCAAGTACCATTCAATTTTCTCTGGCTAAAAGTTATCCACATAAGTAATGCTTTACCAGCGGAAGTGACCACATAATCTTCAGTGAATCCTACGAACTACCATATTTCCCCTTGAACTAGCTCCGTTTGATGCGTTCCTGGTAACGTAAATAGTATTATCATTATCATGTTCTATCAGTTTATCCAAATCTTGTTTTTAATAATCTCCGTTTACCTTTCGTTTTCATACCTCTGTCGGCCCACACCGCTCTGATTATCAACTGCTTGATTTAGTTGCTATCTTCTTCGGACAATCGTCGTCTCCTATCTTTTCTGTGTTCATACCTTTTCTTTATTATTTTTCACAATGCAGTCAACCTGTCTGGTAACGTGATAACTGTAGGTTCAAGAACCTTTACTGCATTAAGACAAAGGCACTTACTCAGATAATACATACAAACTCACAAACTACTGCCAAACTGATTAGAACTAGTGCAGTTGAGTGACTAGACTATTGCCTATTGAACACTAGCATAAACTGAGAATCATACCAAAACAAGCCAGAAAGAAACGGAAAAATCGATTTGCCCAAGATTATCACAAAGATCGTGGATAAATAAACATAAATTCTAAAAGTACAAAATACTGAGAATAAAAGTTTATATATATATCGCTAAACCCCTTATCGACTTTATGACTTCATATGACCGGACTTTTATTTCCATTCGTTGTAGGGAAGTTGACATTCCGTTGCACAATTAGTTAGTTACTATTTGATATTAATCGCATTACAAAAGTCCCGTTGGCAAAAATTATACATTACAGATAAATTCAGTTTATAAAGCTCGTAATTTAAAGTACCACAATAATTTCTAACAGTAGTAGTAGTGCCAAACGCAAATATTCTGCTGAATTACACTTGAATTCATAAAGGTCATGGTGAGAGAATTTAATTGACATTGTAGAAGAATTTAAATACATCATCTAAATTTATCAAAAGGACTAACTACCTTCAATAGTAGGAAGCATATCTACTCGCACTTTCTATTAGCATGATAATTTCGATTGTTGGAATGTGACTTCCAGGCCAAATGTATTATGACATTTAAAACAATAATACTTTGTTCATCAAAACAACCGTATGTGGTAAATACTAGTCAACTTAAGCACCTTCAACACTATATATTATGTTGATAAAATATTAATTAGGTTTTTTGCACAAAAGAAGTAATTACTGATAAAAAAAAGCAATCACAGATTGAAAGTAATCTTATCATGATCGATGAATATATGAAGTTATCTTCAATTATTTAAGAGTGGAGACAATTGGGCCTTGTCGTTTACGACTTGAGGAACTTCATTAATTACGTTAGAGATTATTTAGAGAGCAGACATTATGGTCAACTATATTTAATTCTTTTCATGGTAGAATGTTAAATTATTAACTTCAAAATGACTTATTCTGTCCTATAATCAACAGTCTCTTGACTGATTATTGGAGAAATATAACAGATAGGAAATAGATTCATGCAGTTAGGAAAGTACTTCAAAAATAATAATATTAAGAATTCTCACGTCAGCTTACAAAAAAGATGACAGCAATAATCATTCAAGCTGAATTCACTTATACTTCTTTCTCCTTGTGATTTATTTATTTGAATAGGTTGGTTGTTGCTATTTTTAGCACAACTTTGAAATTAGCAACTGTAGAAATAACTTATTTGTCTTGTAATTCAATTTCACATTATTTTACTATTCACGATATGCCTATATAACACAGTTACTTTTGACAAGAGTTTTGACTGCAATTTATTGTGTTCATCATTTTCATTAACCTTACCCTCTGAAACTTATTTGTTGCAATCATTTGCATGTGATAATACAATAATTCAGATTTATGGATAAATACAGTGACTCCATTTAGGAAAGTATATGAATTACGATAATGATCGGATACCATTATATGTGAACAAACCACATTTTTCATTAGCTCTGATCATCCCTACCGCGTCATACACTTTTATTAATGTACATTGTTAAAGTGAAAAAACAGGAATATGAATATTTTCCTATGGTTCAACGTCCAATCTATTATGATTATCACTATTTAGTAGATTTAGTCTATTTAGAAGCTATTACTCAGTGACATTATCGATGCGTCAATAATTAAAACATATAACTGGATAGTTTTCTGCAATTCATGTTTCTCAATAACTTTCTCAACTAATTACTTGAGTTCCTAAAATCGTAAACGATAAAGTTCAATTATCTTTACTCTTAAATAAATGAAGAGAACTTCATACATTCATCGATCATGATAAGATTATTTGCAATCTGTGATTAGTTTTTTTTTACCAATAATTACTTGTTTTTTTTCTATAATCAACCTAATTAATGTTGTACTAGCATACTATAATACTAAAATTATTAAAACAAACTAGTTTACTATATATAAGTAATTTGAAAAATAAACTCTTGTTTTTACTACCATAAATTTGACCCAGAAGCCACATTCCAACAACACAACTAATCATGCTAATGAAAATTAAAGAGAAAAAAAACCGTTTGTCTACAGTACTAATTAGATTGTGTTTTGAGTTAGAACATGAATTCAAGAAATGTTTTGATTTTGTATATATATATATATATATTTTTGTAAGTATTTCAGTTTTAGTATATTCAGTATGTACATCAGAAACACTTCTGATTATCTTCATTATAATTATTGATTACTTCAACTGCTAATACAAATTTTGGTAAACTGTTTTAAGTGAAGAAGACAATACCTAAAACATTAAAACTGTTTGAACAATATGGGAAGTAAATTTAAAATGAAGCAATCGAAAAAAGAAAGCTATGGACATTATTTACCACATATTACAAAATATCCATACTACAAGGGTTTACAACAAGTTATAAATTTGTTATAAACTTTATTCATAAACATGACCGTTATCTAGTAGAATACTGTTACTATAACTTCTCCACACAATATGATTACTAATAAAAATCTGATAGTCTGAAATTCTAGTTTTATAAAAACTAAATTTATTTAGAGAAAAATTGTTTCCATCTGTGTAATAAGATGTGGTTTACGAAATCGACTAACTAGTTTTACTGATACTATCAAATTAAACTTATTATCAGTACGTGATTGTGAAGATTGTCGATTTTTTGGATGAGATCATAAATCGATAAATGTTAGACCACCATTGAAAACCTGGAAGCACTAGACGGCCGTTTCGTCCTAATATAGGACTTTTCAACACGGTGCATCCACGATCCCGCATGCGGGACTCGAATCCAGGACCTTCAGTCTAATCCATTAGGTAATTTAATGGTGTCAAAAGACGTCATATCACGGTACTCAAGACCCAGAATAGGTTCGTAATCTACTTGTCCGCTCAGTATCTTGAGGTCCATGTTCACCATTGGTTTTGAATTACGGTTTTACAACATGCTGAGGTGGTTTCTCTATGTTCACTATCCCAGTTTAAGCATCTGACGCTCGACTTTGATCCTTTCAATTTTATAAACACCACCCTTCATGGTGTGCAGATAGTGAGCAAGATAAAAATCAACAAATCAACAACAAACTTTTATATTCACAGAAAACGACAAATCATAGAAACTTAAGAGTTTTTCTACTTTAATTCGATCCAATGAACTGAATAAAGTCATAAACTTCAGTACTCATATACAGAAAATGATTTCCACAGGCAATTACCACCACTTTAAATACTACCATGATGTAATACAACAAAACAACAAGCGTATTAGGAAGACGTAGTATTTCTGATAAATAAATAAAAAAGTGGTGATGATAAACATCAAACAAAAGTTATAAAAAAGTAGTATAGAAAAAGACATCCTCAAAAATTGTTTGCTAAGTTATAATAATACATGTTACAATTTTTCAAGTTAATGAAAAAAATAACTCAATACACTAATAAGAGTAGTTAAATTCTGTTATCATTATTCATCAAGCATCATTGGTATTGAACAGAAAACGTATCACATATATATGTATGGAGATAAATAGGATTTTGTTAGAAGTTAGATCGAATTGGTTGAGAAGAGGTGGATTCTCCATTCCGATCACCAATATCATCATATTACATTGAAACGCATGTATTTGGTTTATTTTCCCTGATAAAATATGAGGAATTGTAAATACACAAACAGGTCAAACATCTACAATACTTTCTTCCATAAGAAGTGAGTTAGAAATAGTGAACCACATAAGTTATATATTTTTTTTATCTGAAACGGAATTTCATAATAAAACAACCTAACGAGATCCTACTATAGTGTAGCACTCATAATGTACATTGTAGAACCAATTAAATGTACACGCACAACAACACACTGTCATATCCAGATGTTTCATATTCGGAAGAATACTTAGGGCATTTTACTTAGTGAATAATATTGTCGTGATTCGATCTCTGTTTAGATGTTTATACATGAGGCAAACGTCCTGAGAGATTTAGATTTCTTGTGTTTATGTTTTAGAACGATCTATAAAAAGCATGATAGATTCCTATGCAAAACATTTTAACATTAGTTAGAAAAAATATCGAATCTTATCCTGGTTTTATCAGTTCGTTTAACTGAGCATGATATAACTGCAAGATTAGCTAGCTAAGTAGACGACAAACTGAACCAACCTCTCATATTCAACCTTGCATAAGAATTTCACATTTAAATCTTTACTCAAACATATTAGATCATAACAAAACTTCAAAAAGAGATTAATTTAATGATGAACAAGTCCATTATTAACAACCAATACGTATACAAACAACATACACTGGTTTCTCACGTTTCACAGTGATCGATCCTCGACTAATATTACTCTGCAGTCAGAAAGAAAAACAAAATATAAATATGTATAGATTAGGCTGACTGAATTCACCATGATGTCCAATGATATATTACAAAACCAACTCCAAATTCCAATACAGATTCACACTTATTCTGAATAGGGAAGTGACATTTTCATTTGTTTCTATGTAAGAAGTTAGGTTTTTCTCCGAAATTTAGTTTACGAAAGAGTAGGAAAAGTCTGGAAAAATTAATCAGCCTTTATTTCGTCCGTTCAATTTCTGACAAACCCATCCAGCCAAACAGTGTATAACATATTTCATTCAGACGCTACACATACGAGAAACAGTTGACCAACTGTCGGATAATCGAAGCGTCAATGGTGTGCAGGTTAACCACATAGACTTTATGAGGTCAAGTAAAATATCATGTCTCGACTTCTTCAGAAAAACTGCATACACTAACTTTATCAAAACCAAGAGGTTTTGCCTATGAAATAAGTTGTTTTTTTCAACTAGATCAAGCATACCTACATACTTTCTGACTGAGTTCTCAAAGTTTCTTGCTAATACGAAAATAGAATCTTAAGTCGACTAAGTTAAAAGTTGAGATGCAAGAGAGGAAATGTAGCGTAAGAAATGTACAATCAGTAAAACTGAAGACATTCAACAGCTGAAAATGTAATCAGTTAGAAGTTATGCAGGTCTTTAAAATATTTAAACTTACAATCGTAGTGCATAGTTCTTCAAATTTTTCTTCAAAAGGATATTTCCCTGAAAAATCAATATAACGACTTTCACCAATCATGAAACCCAACCAAGAGTCTGGAACGAATCCTCGCTCAACACGCAGAAAAATAGGCGGTTTTTTTAGTTTTCGAGTATATTCCGCTTCTATGAAGTGAGGTGTAGAATAAAACAAAAAGAGAAAAAAGTTGATAGTCTAAGCCTAGTTGACTCTGTTTAGAACAGTTTTAATAACAAAACAATGGTTTTATAAAAGAAAATGACAAAATCTACAATTAACTTAAAGCCAAAAATACTAAATTTATACGCATGTATTTAATCAGCTAAAAGGTTTTAGATAAATAACTCATTTGTATATAAATTATAATTACAGGTGGTACTCGCTTGGTTATAATAATAAGTCATCTTTAATGTGACTAGGAAATTCAAAGATTGAATTTATCAAACTTTTAATATCCTCTAGGGAAAATGCCGATTGCAATGGAGAATCAGTTGATATATTCGTGAATCTGAGATTGCTCAGACATGCCCTCAACCACTGTCTGCCACAAAGTACAATGTCGGATGGAGCAGAGATCGGTAGATGTGGCATTAGTCTGTGCAATCATTGACTGTTGATTTGAACCGTGGTAATTGATGTATAATATTTAGTAGGGGTCCGCGCGACAACGACGATCAGTGGTTGAATAATTTAGGTAACATGGATCAAAACCAGTCCCAAAAGCATCGAAATATTCCTCTAGACCATGACTCCCAGTATTCCTTCATATATAGCTTTCCATTGTATTCTTCAGCCGTATTTCTAATGGTTATCTTGGATATTGCATCTATTTTGATCCCTTTTTTATTCATCATAGTAATTTCATCTGCTTGTGCTGATGTGGTATGACATATATATTCATAGAGTGCTTTCACATGAGCTACAAAACCATTTGTTCGTTAAAATTGGCATGTAACTAGTTTTATTATTTAAAACATGAACTGACGATAAATGTATATCACCGCTTACGTAGTATGCCAACAAAGTCATGTTATAAAAATGATCTTTTATAAGTTTTAAACCTTACAAACTATGTTCCATTACATTAGAAATTAAACAATGATGAAAAATGTTTACAAATAGCAACAAGTACATACTATTGCAATTTATCACAAAGGTATAAATATTATGACCGAGTTCAGGCAAACTCCAGTTTTTGTACCGTGTCAAATATCGATGTAAAAGTGATATATGACTAAATAATTCATACATATAGTGCAATGTATATATGACAAAAGAACTTAAATGGGAATTTTTAATCGGTAAAAATGTTTAATACTATAAAAATATGAAAATCGGTGTCCGAACATTAAGCATAACTGGTTAGCATCAAAAAACCGATCTTATTCAGACAGCCATTAGAAAGGAAACACTGGACAGCTGTTTCGTCTTCAGATGAAGCTCATCAGTAGTATCCACCCTCTCCGGGGGTCGAACCCTAGACATTTAAGCCTGATGGAGAGGAATTAACCTCTAAACCACTAAATAGGCATCCAGTGGGTTACAGGTTTAACTTTAATTAATTTGGGATGTCATGCGAACCATCTTTTAATGCAATTAGCGAGAACCTGCCTCACATTCTATGTGGCTTAAATTCACTGGTCACTGATTCATAAGTTGATTTGATCAACAACCTATACTTTTAAGCTTAAAACCATATAGTTTAAATTAATTCAATACTATATTTACAGTTAGGCAATGTCGGAAATAAAGTAAAAAGTACGGAAAAAGTCATTTTCTTCCATTTTTGTCAACATAATAATGCAAATTATTCATCACCGAATTAAATTTTATATACTCAGCCATAAACCATGCTGTTTGTATAAAAACTACTACTACTACTACTGATACCACCAAGTTGTTAAAGCTTAAATAGATATGGAAGGTTTTAAATGTATAGCCTAAAGTTGAAAAGTTGAATTTCAACCGACTAAGCAGTTATTTTAATACAGTTTACAAATTTTCGGTGAAGTTCGGTTGTCTGAGCTGGATGGATTGATCGTGGATCTTTCATTGCTCTTCTGAACAACATCATCAGCACAAACTTCAGGTAGAAGTCAAGTAATGAAACTCTACTGCTTGTCCTGTTGACCTCGATCTAGATTGGTTACTGTTGAATTTTAACCTGTCATTATCTGCTTCTATACTTTGATTGTATCTCCCTTTGATCTAATTTCTGGTCTCATATTTGTCCATAAATTTCTGATTGATTGGTAGATTGTTTGTGTTTGTTGATTGCTGATTGACCTGAGTGCCAAGCTTCTAAAAATTCTCTGATGGTATTAATACTTCCTCTATCCAGGGTTTCAACACATTTCCAGTCGAATGAGTGTCCACATGCATCAATACAATCAAGGACATGTCATGGAATTTGACCGATAATTGATTTTAATGCAGGCAAAGATGAAGGAGGAATCCACTTTGTCCAATACAGTGTTTTCTGCAACTGGAACAGTTTATTTTACAGACGATGTTTGGTTTTTTTCTTTTGTAATTTTGTCCTGTGGTTTGCATAGGTTTAGTTGAAGTGATTATGCTGGTTTATGTGAAACACCGATTCCGAACAGCTTCAATAATCTCTTGATAATTTCTGATTTGTCTTTTATATAGTGTAGGATGGAAAGTTTGTTGATTTCTATAAATGATTTTGTTTCTACTGTTGAGTTGGATTGATATTTCTTGATGAAATTTCAATAAACACCTCAATAATATTATTTCTATGTAGAATTCAATCAGTTTTGTACTTACCTGCTTTAGTGTTTTCACTATCTTGGTATGATTTAGAAAAAAGTATTAATACAATTGCAGCATTTTGTACAGCGCTTGCCATAGCATCTAATATCTTAACATCTTGAACCATGTGCTCTTTGTCAATCCAAATCTGAGAAAATAGAAGGGGTTTTTGATAGTTATATATATATGGCGTATAACAGTGAAAGGTAAAACATCGCCTATTACTTTTTGCAACTGAAAATATTTTGAACAACACAACAAAAATGTTCAATCCGATTTAGAACTACAGTAAATTCAAAGGCAAAATGTTACATATTTCAATAATTAAGGACTTTGAAACTTCTTTTCGTATTGGTGATCATCATTTAAATATTGGAATGGGACAATAAGTATTTATACAAATATTGAAAACAAATTTGAAATAAACCTTGACACAACGTAGTTGAGAGTTTCAGCTCTGAAATCCCTTAGATAATGAATAGAGTATGGAAATCGATCAATAAATTTAACATATAATAAGTAATTGGATTAAATGTCAACCCTTGACCATTATTTTATAGGCCATAACTCTTTTGGACTTTATATAAACTGTAATTATAGAGAAATACTCTTCAAAAGAGATGGTATGTATCTGATAACATCACACACACGTTCTAGGCGTAAATAATTTAAGTTGGACAATTTGACAGTGATATATGAATGTATACAATGTGGGATCTCAGACAATATTAAAGCTGCTTAAGCTTACACATATCGCCCTAATACGGTGAAAACAGGTTCGATAGCATGATGACCAAAAGAACAAAGTTACTGCGATCATAAGGAAAACGAAAATTAATGAAGGATAATAAGAATAAACAGTGGTTTAATAACACTGACCACATCACAGATGATAGAACTATTCAATTAAGTGATCAACATGTCTAGACATTATACTCTATTGTTAAAGTAACTTTCGATGTAGACTGATCCTGAAGTAGTAATATGAGTTTCAAAGTGTAAAAAAACTTCAAGTTAAAAATGTAAATCATGAATTTGTCTGACTAATATCGCATCATGTAGCCGCTTCAAATCATAGGCTATTATGAGCTCTTTAATAGTCTAAACTTCAAAAGAAGTTGGCGTTAGCTTACGGCAGATTGTAAAGAGCTGAGATTTAAATAATATCAATAATATTCTTTTGAAAAGTGACTTATAAGTGAAATCTTTATTCTTCAAGAATGGGTTATCAGAACAGAATTCGCCAAAAAGTCATTTTCAAGACGTTTACAATCATAGCTGTTTGACAGAATAATAATACATGGAAAGCTTTATTAATTTGCTGACAGCCTTTCTTACCACAGAATCACTAATAAGTAAGATGATATTATCGTTTTCCAAACTGTTATTTAGAACTTACACATGATAAGTCATATCGTTGATACTGTACGGTTGTGTATATAGGATTTTCCCTCTTGAATAGCTCTACTTATTTTCAGTAATAATATTGAGTGTAAAGCTTGACTCCAACATTCGTAGTTAAAATAGATTAAATATACTATTATTACGAATGATACCCCTGAATCATGATGTTTTCAAAAGAAGTATAACATACATAATTTAAATTTCCTATTAAATATGAAAAGAACTAAAATATATTTCTCTTTTTAGCTAATTTCATTGGCATTTTCCTTCATATTTTCGAAACCCGATTAAGATAATCCTGTAACCATAGCATTATCTGATTAAGTTTTAAGATACATACTAATATATGTAATAAATAGAATATTATAACACAATTGTTTGAAAGTATTACATCAATTTAAATTACAATAAGGTAAAACATCTCTGCATGACTAAAACTTATGAATTTGAAGATGGGATTTATCGAATCTCATCTCATTGCACAATATCTTTTCTTTCTTTAAATCATTTCATTCTAGTTTTTGACTAGCTTTAAGTATGTGTTTGGAGGATGGAAGCGAATTATTGTATAAAATTTAGTTAGAAAATGTTTAAAAAATTGAAATTACAAAATGAAATTGATATACCTTGATATCTTCCTCCACAAGCCTTTCTTTAATCTTAATCGCTATCTCCTGATCATCGTGACTGTAGCTAATCATAATATGACCATTCAATTGAGGTTTTTCTTTTATTACTTCACTACATTCTATGAAATAATACCCATAAAAAAATAATAATTTAATTACATATGATTATAAAATCGGATTTAGATAGGATTCCGGCATCAAAATCTCGAATCTAATCAACACTTATGATAGTTGATTTAGTTTGACAAAATTATGTCATGTGCCTACTGGCAACTAACTTCAAGAGGAGATTGCCATAATCCTGGTGACAAGCAGTGATCAATGGAATCGGGTGTGGAGCAGTTACTGACAGATGACAATGGATGATAGTCTTGCAATATCTTGAAATGACTAAAGTTAGAAATACAAACCAGTGAATAACAACTCAGTAGTTTAAAGGTTAGGCACTAGCTGTAAGAACTAGACGTGCTAGGTTCGATCCCTGGCGGGGTTGTGGATACGCACCGCTCAGTCCCATACTAGTTGTTTAAACAATTTGAAATACTATAAAACTTGCCAGTATAAATACAGCTAACATTAAGGTCATGTAGTTCATTATCACTATCAAAAATGTTTAATTAATCAAAAGTTTGGTCGATAAAGTGGAATAGTGCGACAGCAGATCGAATTTGGATAACTCTCTTCTCCTTTCCAGATCCACTTAATGCAGGGGGTTAGTTACATCTTAATAGGAGGGTTAATAATAAAAACCAAACGACAACAATGATTAGGTGGAAAGTTGCTGTACATAGATTTACTTACAATATCGTTAAAACTAGTGTAATTAAGAGCGTACTAAAATATCAATAAGTTATTAAGAGGTTTTTACCTTTAAAAAGGTAAACACTAAAGGAATAGAGTGTACACCATAGATGAAATTATAATTCAAAACTAAAATATAAACTTCGAAATACTAAATATCCAAAACTATTTTCAGGGATTTAGCCAGAACTGAATCATAATGTAATAACGACAACTTTAAACTAAGTGCGGACTTCATTTACAGAAACCAGACTGAAATTCTGTGGTCTAGTTTCAAGGCAAATTTTTGCAATGTTATTGGAAACCCAAAGAGTATATAAACTGCATCAACAGCACGAATAACGTACAGTAGCGAAGTATCTCTACCAATGATAAAAGGGAATATTCTTTCAAAATAATCGAGTTCTGTCGACCAAGCTTTAATGTGGCTAATAGTTTGAGTTACTCGACATGTGGTGTACTGCATTGAAATATTATCTGTTTGGAGATGGTAGATAGGATAGCCTTGATCTAGGCTTTGAGCGATTTGACATGATTTTATTCGCAAGAGAACTAGTACTACCAGGCAGATTCGATCCCGCATCATCCAACTTCACAGCATGAGACTTTTTCATAGGCTAACCTATTTTACTGTGCAATGAAATATTCAATTTCCATGATTTCCGATAGCTTTTATTTAGCATTGTGTAAAGTTCATCTTAAGCCCTTTTGGATTAAGCGCTAGGTTGGTTTCTTATTCAGTGTATATGACAATCACAAAAAACATTGTTCTGTCTGATATTATGTAAAAATAGAATTAAGAACAGTACTAAATTGACGTTGTTACATACCTACGTCATCAGTTTCATTTTCAGACGATGGATATTGAGGTATATATTCATCATCACTATAGCTTTCAGTGAACGTTTTAACTTCCTCTTCTATTCCAATCGCATTGTTGCAAATTCCATCGCAAGTAACTTTATCTCCATGATAGCATCGTCGTTTGAAAGTTTCGAGGATAAAATGCGTATAGTCAATGATATTTCATCTGTACCATGAGATAAAGATTTCGGCAACAACTTCAGGCGTTCCACAACATCACGCTGGGCAAACTTATTTCTATTCTCACCGTCCAAAGCCAAAATACGTAGCACTGAAGTTTATATTAAGAAGAAGAATGCTTATCATCCATTTGTGAAAGATTTCAATGAGACACAAATTAGGTGTAACTAAAATAATAAATATTTATATTGCTGTCAAACAACTAGCATGCTGGTAAATGTTGGTATTAAGGTATTTTAATTAAGAAATTTTTCACGTTGTGCTAGAAAAACATGTCAGTACAAACTTGAAAAGAATGAATTTTTAATTTCTTCCATATAAAACAGTAGGTCCTAACGATATTGACTAAATCATATTTTGGACGTCTACGTGGTTTATTGGTCATTATATACATTAGTTGATTCTTTTTGTCTGACGAGCAGTTATTTTTTAAATACCTGACATGGGCAGCCAATCAGAAGTAGCAGAAAGCCAATCGACGGCGATCAGAAGTGACCCAAAGATCAAGTGCATTTCAATAGGGCCAATTTCCTAAAGATAGAGTGGCATATATATAAGTGTTTGTGTATTTCATTCGGTAGCCCAATGCACTTTTTCGCTCACTCTTGTGTTCTTGTTCAAGTAGTTAGTTGAGGGGTTGGCGCGTAGTATACTGCGTATCAGTATCAGCTTTTGAACTAGCGAGAAATCTGTTCTTTTGAAAATAATATTGTTTTGTCAGAATGTAACAGTTTAGTTTGAGTTTTATACCCTACCAATAATGGGATGCGATGTTCTAGCCGTTCTAAGGCTAGTCAATCACACTGGTTTTTCTGGAAATGGTTTCTGTTTCTTAAAACTCATAGAACCACATCATGGATGTGATTTTGTGAAGAAATCGTTACCCCTCGGTATTGGCGCACGGGTGTCATACCACGGGCAAGTATATTCTACATGCACACCAGTTATACATATAAGTATACTTACCTTGTGAGCAAATATACGCTACATGAACACTGGTGACACACAATTGTTTACTCATCCATTCCATAACATATATATAGGTATATTCGCTCGTCTGGGTGGGTAGATGGTGACCTATACCTTTGAACGGATTTGCTACAGCTGACTGTCACTGACGCATAACATGAATATCACTGATATAAAGGCTTTCACCCATGCAATTTATGATACACAAAAACATAAGCACTCTTTCAGGGAGGGTTGATAATCACCTTTCCCTAGTATTTGCTACCATATTTTCTTATTATGTCTTCGGCCTGAAGGATTAGGCTGCTGATTTTATTAAATACAAGGCAGACATTTTTCAGTTTACGTTCCTTGTGCCAACCCACGCGCATATCCTCTGCACACATATATAAACCACATAAGCCGAAACTCATGCAATTCATATACAAAAGCATACACCTGGGCACCTCAGTCAGTCAGTTACAACGTAGGACCAGGCACATATATGCATCAGTCCAAGTTGCCATACCTCATTAACACAACAAGATGGACACCGGATTCATAAAAGTAGTTAGTTCAGAGGTGGTAATATATAAAAGAAAGGTTTCATATAAGGATATAGTACAGGAAGAAAGAATTAGTTCGTAAAAAGAAAGATATGAAGCAATTTTAATCTCTTAGTTTAAGGGGAGATAGAGAGTGTATACACCGACGCCATTGTGATCGATTCTGAGCCATGTCACCAAGGGTCTCCAACCATTGGTTACGAAAGTCACGCGGACCCCAACCAGGTAATCTGCATCTACCAACATGGCTCAGACTAGAAGTTGGTGACTTCAAGCACTGATGCCACGTTTTGGTTTGGCTGCCCCTAACTTTCTTCCAACCATCCCGAACGCTGGTTAGCATTGCACGTCGTGGTAATCGGTGTTCGGGCACCTCACGGGAACCCAGTCAATTTGGTTTGCAGCAGTGTGGCAGACTAGTTCGATGTCCGCCGAACGCTTAAGTTAGCTAGCAAGGTTGCCCCTGCTACCCAGAAGCGCCGCAGGGAGGCCTTAGGTTGAATTTTTCTGCCAATTATAGAGTGTTTTTTATTTATCTGGAATACAAATAAGTTCATAAATACTACACACCAGCATTTCCACTAAACATTGAACAGTTTTAAAAAAAGAAAGTCAGCTAAGCAACGTCTAAGAACTCAGATAAGACTTTAATTTCCTGACGCCTAAAATGAATACCAATGTCTATAATATACAGTTTCACAAGTGTATACAAAGACTAATAGGGATTTACCGGTATGTAGTATCATCTACAATAGTATTTGGTAAACGGTTATATTAATTTAAATGTCCAATTTAAGCGTTTCTCATCGTTATGCTGTTTTATGCGTACGCGTCATTTTAAGCTTTTGCAACAAATACAAAAAGTTCGTTTTGCTTAAAAACTGTGTCAAATAGGTGAAGCACTAAAGACTCGCTAGTTAAACTCATACAGTCATTTTGAGATGTTTGTTGAAAATCTAGAACATAAGATTATCAAAACTCAATGAATTTTGATGGCCTTTTTTGAATCAATAAGTTTTCATAAATTCATCTCGAACAATTTAAAAAACGTTTACTGAACATAAACTAACAGAAAATCTACTCATTAACTGAGATCTTTCGTCAATCATTACTGAAGTAGGATCTGATATAAGTATTATACTTAGGATTTTACACTCTATATTCACACAATAAGGTGAAATCAGTAAAATTAAAATCAGACGAATTAAGATAATAATATCAATGGTAGTAGAAAACTAAGCATAGAAAACACACTTCAAGAGGAACGGATGAAATTGAAGACGGGAATGTGTTGAGTAGTAATAAGCTGAAGATGTAAATGAAGAGATTAGGTGAATACATTTGGACCGATATGACTTATATTGAGGAACGGTAACAAAGCAAATATAAGAGAAAATAGAGCTAAGTAACAAAAAATAGTTCCCTAGACTTGTCAAGATCGGTTGAAAGGTAGCCCTAGATAAAACTGTCACAGACAAAGACCAATTTTCAGTCCAACCTCATATTAGGTGACCATAATAATCGATGAAAAATTCCATGAAACAACCAACAGGTCCTGAACTGCTCTCCAGTTACCTACTAACTACTAACAGTATTAATGGGAGACAGACACTTGGTTCCCAGCTCTTAGTGATATTTAGGCTTTAAATAAACAAGAAACAATTGAGCCACTGTCTTATATGAGTTTACTTTAGACAGCTTGAAGTATGATGGTTTAGTGTTGTTCACTAAAATTTCCGATATATTCACAATATTTTGACGGCTACATCTGACTCCAACTGACTGGCAGGCACTGATGAGAATAGACATTTCTTGTAATAGGTATAGGGTGCCGAGTCTGTCAAGCTTTATAGGAATCTTGGCTTTATGATATTCTAAATTTAACTAAAGATTAAGGATAACAAACCTGTGAAACACCGACAAATTTTAAATCCAAATTCAAAATCATTAATCAACTATTTATTCGTACCAAGGACATTTGAAATTTGAGTATTTTAATAATAAAACTTTCTGAATGTCATTGTACATATTCAGTAGAAAAAACAAGTGATATTGAAGTCTATTTGTGTAAAGAAAATTATTGGTCATTCAATAAAGTTCCTGGTGGTTACTAGTTATGATTAAACTGTAGAAAAGTTGGAGACTCGTCTGGTAAATAAAGAACACTCCAGTACTATATATCTATCCAAACTGTATATTTTGCTGGCTTAACTTCATGTCTCCAGGAATACTTACCTGTTTTTTTATGTCACTCCAACTAATGTAAAGATGGGCCCGTTTTCCACAAACATATCACTGTCTTACGTTATACCTTATGTTTTTGGTAAATATAAAATAAATAATTCAGACTGCAGAAACTACTTGTTTGAAAAAAAGCATACCTTTATTAAACTGAAAGGCACTAAACAAATCATCACTTTCAATTCCTTCATCTATAAAATAATCAAAGCACTTTAAGAATAACTCAATGGATTCTTCCTTTAGATGAAGTTGACTGATATCAGTGTAGGTAAACGTTAAAAAAATGGTTATGGCCAACTGGAAAATAAATATTAACTGGAAATAATTCCTCAAACCTTAACTTTTGGATCACGACAAGTACAACGCGATAAAATATTACGTAGACCATAATCTTTAAGCCTTTGTGTAATAAACTCATTTTCATAAATTAATGCAGTATTCAATCCAGAGATAATGTGATCCATTAATGATCGTACAAGCTACTAAATTATATTTTAAAACAAAGCGTTCCAAACCTCGGACATTTTCATGGTGTTGGTAGCATTTAATATACGCCGTACTTCTGTCAAATATATATCAGATTTGATCAGTTTCCGTGTAAAGCTTATGCTGACGGTCATATAATTTGACAAAAATTGTTGAAAGTCGATAAGTTTGAGGACCCATTTATCAACGGGAAGTGGATTAAATGCTAAATAACTCAAAGGAATAGCCATTCTTCCCAATTCTCGATAAATTGACACAAGATTTACGAAAACCGAGGTTTTTGACAGTATATCTACGGCAACTTTTGTACGAAATTTTGTCAGATGAATTGACTTATCACCAAGGTTTTGACTAGGAAGAAATGACCGTAACAACTCATCAAATTCTTCTGCATCACATTTTTTAGAGTTGGACAGCATTATCAGCTCGTTAATGTTCCTTGATGTTTCCGTAATTAGTTCATCGAAATCATCTGCACTCATTTTGGTTAACTGTTTAAATTTAAATAGTTGGAAAGAAACAACTTTACTGAAGTTTAGAGAAAATTAAAATACTAAGTTAGTATTACTCATCAGAGGGATTCCAAAAATAAGATAATCTGGTTTTATCACCACAAAAAGATCCATTAGATAGTCGGTTTTCACCCCTGAATTCATTGTGTACCGAATGAGAACACTAGTGGGGACAACCTTATATATTCACATACATTACAGAATATCTTTGTAAAATCTGAGATCTATACAGTAAATACATCATTTGTAAAATATCCATCAATCGTCTCAGATTTTATTGTTCCTTCGGTTTTATATCAATCACTCTCTGTTCTCGTTTTCTTCTCTTCGATTTTCTCAACCTTCTACCGCCAGGCATTCACTTTTGATTGGTGATACATACTACTTAAATCTGTCTACTTAAGTAGCATACACCACGGTTGTACTCCTGAATGGGTAAAGTTTGCTAAGGAGAAATATATGCATGAAAAATATAAAAAATGAGAAAATGTTAACAAAAGAAACAAAGAATCTGTTCAAATGGAATACAGAGTTCTAAAGACTGAGTATACAATATTTTCAGTCAACCAATCATGAGTGTTGAACATGAGAATAGCATGAACAACTCTAAGTCACCACATGTCGCATCAAAAGTTGATTTTCTTATAGACGTCCCGACGTTTCGTCAAATGTGAACCCGCCAGAACCGGTTGGACTCCCAAAGAAAGTGGGAAAGTTGACGTATTCAGCCATTCCACTCCCTGTGGTCAGACTAGATATTGATACAGTCAGTCAATTATATGTAAAGTACAACCTCACACAAACGTACACTAGTCCAAGTTTTCACACCACACGATTACAACACGATGAAATTATCCTGAAAAATGCAATATTAATAGAAGTGGTAATAGTATCAATAGGGATAGAGAGAGTTATATGTAGAAAGAAGAGAAACAAAGAAAAGGAAGGGGATTTTGAGATTCATGAACTAAAGGAAAATAAAGAATGAATGCATCTGCGTCGTTGAGGCAAACCTGTCTTAGGCAATAAGTTACATTTAGAAGGATAGAGACGTGTCTTAAACATATTTGCATTGCTCCACAACGGGATAAGAATACTCTGTATATTATCCAGTTCTCGTGATAAAAGGGCAATCTCGAGAAATTAGATGAATGAAGTGTTATCTTTAAACTGCCTTCAAATTTTCGAGGGTCAACAAGTTTGCGCGCTACCCTTTATCATCTTTATTAATGGCTGGATATCCCATGTCGATCTCTAATTCACGTTGTTAGTAAGAAGTAGGCAACTAAACAGTAGCTATATTTCGGCTGAATCGTTACCTGAAATGTTCTACTCTGAGACTTAGCTTTTTGATCTACAAATGAAATCGAGATTCCAACATTCTAAAGAAGTTTCATCGAAATTCGGCTAATTAACCCAGTCCTCTAATCAATTTAAATAGTTAAACTGTTCTACTTATCACGACTCGCTTTTCCATTAACCTCCCTTTTGTTATCTGCTACCGCTCCCAATCCTGTGGTAGACGTTTGATTAGTCTGAACTTAAGACTTTATAAATTTACCGACGTTTTTATAACTTTTTAGTCCAGGTCGCTAAAAGACGCTACAAACGGTTTTACAATAGATCAAAAGCCCAGCCAAATTACTTTAGAGTAAACATTTACGTGGTCAGCTAAATGCCTAGCTAGTTATATCCTGAACATACTCTTGGAAATGAACTCGGGTCAGTCATTATGTTGAACTTCCCTGCGTTCAGTAAGGCGATGAGGAGAGTTTTCATGCACCAGTGTCCGAGTATTTCCTGCAGAAGGCATGGAAGTCTATCGAATCTCACTAATTATGGTTGATAGTAATATCTGTCGGTATCTATTGTTATAATGTCTTGGCTCAGCCTGTAAATTTTAATAGGTTTATTAAGTTCGAATGCCTTGCGATTCTGTCCAATGAAAACGTTATGATATACTCCGACTCTGCTGTGATTGATACCCCTTGGCTTCTTACATCTACTTCGACTTAATTTTGTTGTATTACTAGATTATTTAGACAAATTGAGACAAAAGGTCATGCAAAGTTAGGTGAAGAAGAATATGTTTCAGATGAGGTCAACGGATCAACCATGTACGACACAAGTTTAGGGTGAAGTGAAGCGAAGTTGAGTAAAAATTAATAGCTGACTTTGCTTACACATATAGTTCAAATAAACAAAGAATAATATAAACAAACACACGTGAATAAAAATCATGAATTATGTGTGAATGCGTACGATGTAACCGACGGAGTTGCGATTCCATATGCAGTGATCACATATTTTTTCACTCCGTAATGGTATACACAAAGGCTTATATCAATCTATCATGTCGTTTAATAGGATTTTATATATGAATAAACGTTGATCACATTCAAAGTGTTTCCAGTTTATACAACCCTGCTCACTTGAGCATTAAAAGCACTCATCTCTCACTTAATCAGCGGAGATGTGGACGGAAAGAACGAATACGCGACGCCGCATATCTTTGTTTTTAAAGTTCCTACTATACCACTTGAAATGACGGTGTAAAAGCGACTGTCAGTAAGCATCTAGTCAGGGTGTGACTGTCGCAATTTCAAAACTATCCATTTTGAAAGCATTGTCAGAAAATACTAACGGGTTTATGGGAATGCAGAAAGTGAATCTTGTTGATCTTTTAGAAAAATCTAATTGAGACCAACTGAATATTCAGACTTTCATCCGGTAAGTGGGTTTTAGATGTCCACATAATGTTAATGGCGTGAAACACTGTGACACAAAATCCGGGCATGAAAAGTCTTAACACGCAGTTCGAATTGCATTTTTTGGAAACTGAGGATAGGACTTTGAAAAACTGAATTGCTAGTACCGGTTGTGTGTGAAAGAGTGAACTGGATCATTGTTATCTTAAATCTCATGACAGCAGCTGAAAACGCGAGTAGTGTGGTACACGGGTCTTACAAAATTTGGTATGCCATTGGTTAGAACCCTAACACAGATTTATGTACAACGACGATTTTAAATTGATCCAAAAGAACACCTAGAGCGACAACTGAAGAAAACATTCATAAGTAATCACATGAGGACTCTTAAAATTTAGAACAACTAGATCCAAGTGTTAGATAATAGAGATATGTGATTGACAGCTGATTAGTGAGCATCCCAATATTTCTACTAAATCTATTTCACCACGTTAAATCACCAATATGTTTACATATATAGAAAAATATTGGTGTTAGCAAGAGGTTCAAACCTTTATGGAGATCCCCGACAGTTTGATACAAGAGGCAAAATGTTGAAGGGACTGAATTCAGGATTTAAAATACTCATTTATAATAGGAATTTTATTAATTATCTGTTTACTTAAGTATATTCATATACATATATATATATATTCATTTGTCTACCAATTGGTTTTAATTAATTTCAAATAAAATCCCACTGATTAATTCGTAAGCTTCAATTGCGTACTTTGAACAAGCTTAAGTAACGAGAGTGTACACAATTAAAATGTGGATGAATATATGCACCGTGTATCTGTATCAACATATATTTATGTTCGTAAAGAAGATTCACAGATTCCTTATGTTTAAATAAAATTACCCACACTTCAGGTCAAGAGTTAAAAACTGATCAAAAAATGTCTCAGACGGTTGTTTGCAAGATATATATCACACTCTGCTTTTAAATGCTACAATTATACCAACCTCCTGATAAATTTGAATTGTTTTTCCGCCAAACCTCAGCGCGATATAAGACCTTCATTATCATAAAGGTTAAAGACTCTAACATACAGTGTTTTTGTAAGGGGTTTGTGCGAATCAATCAGTTGCATAACCCAATTGTTGATTTCTCGCATAGCTCTGTGCCCTGTCTGCTGTCCAATGTGGGTAGTCTAACCGCTTTGTTGGACAGGTTCTTGTAATTTTACATTTACATAGTTTTTCCATGAACAGCAAGAAATAAAGCTACTATCCATCAACTATACATTCATCCAGTCAAAAATTACAAAATTAGCAAACAATACGGTCAGTTAGCATGACTACCACCAAAGTAATAACATCAAGTGACGCGAAAACAAAACGGCTGTCAGGATCCCCGTCATCCACAGATAATATAATCTAAAAATTGTAAACGATATAATAGTAATTGCAGATTAACGAAAAGATCCACACAATATGTGTTAGATCCAGAATTCGCTGTAAAAAAATAGAACTGAGCAGCAGAAAATGGTGACATAACTAAATTAAATATTTCGGAAAAGTTGTTTATGACTTTAAATTCATCATATTAATATCAAAAACTTCACGAAATAATGTAGGGTACTTAACCGATAAATATAATTATAAAAGAAGCATAGTGTGCGTGAGTACTTCATTTTCAATAAAGTACATTCATCGATAACAAATTAGGACCAACACAGAACTTAAAGCGACCAATAATTCGAACGAAAAAACCGTAAGTCGTAAAAACGATTGAGACAGATGAGGGCACTCCATTCATATCAAAAATTTGCCGCAGTGGGAAGCCATCATCAAAACTACTTGTGCTGAAAATATCGTTCAGAATCGACTATAAAAACCGTAGAATATGGTTAATATCGTTCTTCAGTTCACTGTGCATTGATTTGAACATGATCATGCTTCCTATTTCAAATCCATCAGTCACGGCATATAGATATAAGGACAATGCATAAATTTTCACCAGGTGTATTGAACATTGTATGCTTCACTTTATTTCTGTTATACGTTTCTTCGTTATCAATGGCCTCCAGAAAGTTTTCATAAGGGTCGATCATATCACCTCACGCGAATACAATTTTTGAGATGCAATCTAGGTCACAACGAAGGTCTTCCACCCCCCTCTTGGGACTTGCCGGAAATATGGAATAATTTGAACACTTGATTGCTGTTCTTTTACTAGTTATTTGCACACAACATTTGCTTTTGGTAGAATTACATCCC